CCCGCGGTCGACTACGTGGGAGTCCAGCGACATAGCCATTACGCTAACTGCTGGTTCCCCCACCCAGGCTTTTTACAACGTCAATAAAATGCTCTTATACCCCACTTCTCAGTCAATTCCGAAGCATTTTTAATTAATTGGTTGATGAATATATGCTCCTGTAAGATTTGTGTTTTTCCTTGAGTCAGCAGGTGCCATGGAAGTCAAGGTGGCTGGATCTTACATAACCAACTGTACAGTTTGAGTCTTGGACTTACTGGCTTGAAAATATGCTTGGAGCATGTACTTGTGTGCTAAAAATTCCAAGAAGAGAAAGGAGAAGGGATTATGGCATAGTCATTCTTCATGTAGGATGATTTCTCACTTTCCCTCTGTCTCTCTCTATGACAAGCACAAGAATCATATAGCGAAACAAAAAAAAAGAAAAGAAAAATTTGTATATTTTTCCCTAAATTACTGAAGGCCCAATTTATTATTAATCTTAGCCTCTAACATTATTCATTGAAACATTAAATAAAATGGAAACTATAATAATATTTTACAAAACATTTATTTCCTCCCACATGACACATCTAAAGAGCACAGAGACACAGTGTGTTCTTTAAATGCATTACGTTTTCACTCATAATGGTGGGTAAATTTCTGCATGGAAAATATAAATGTCCACACATCATAAAACGTAAGAGAAACCCCATAACATGTGGCATTATTTGACCAACTTGGGGAGCTGTGTGTTCTCTTCACAGCAAGCAGAGCTGGGCTTGGGTATTCTGGGGTCTCGGCTAATGAGAACAAAGGGGCTGACTGTAGGAAAACAAGCAGTGATTAGTGCAGAGATGTTCACTAGCCACTTACTTGGATTATAAGAAGGAACAATGTACAGTGAAAATAGGTAGGAGAGGGTGTAAAACAATACGAAGGTGCTCACAAGGACAAGGATGGTTTCAATGACTCTGGACTCAGAGGACAGATTGGTTCTGTGAATGTGCTGGACCTGCTGCCTGTGTCTGTACAGGATGAAAACCATGGAGCCACTGGCCCAGATCATGAGTCCCAAACACAGAACATCATAGGATGACAGCAATATGATAACCAATAACTGTGGAACTCTGTTATTATCTACCCAAGAACAGTATAAAAAATCCATTTGTGTCGTGTGGTTTTTGCCATTCCACTTCCCAGTTATATGCATGGGAATGATGATATTCACCAGCATGTTTACCACCCAGCACAGGATCAGGGAGTGGGACAGTCCAACGTATTGAGAAGTGTGTAGTTTCAGCTCTGCCCACCTGGAATTTCTGGGGCTGATGGTGAAGGCCTGGAAGATACTCAAGCGGCAGGTGCTGCCAATAGACACACCCCTGCTCACTCTGTGGACATACGAGTTGGCATCCAATATTACCAAGGAAATAGTTGACCCCCAAAGCAGAAAGTGTCTGCAGAATCCCTTTAGAGAGAAAGATCAAAATGTTGGCTACAGTCAAGTGCTTGACCACGAAGTCCGTGGACCTCAGTGTGGCTCTGGTGAAATAAAGAACACTATAATGGTAAAGGAGGAAAAAATTACCCAGCAACCCAACCACGGTCTGAGATAAGAAGATCATTCCCATTGCCATGTCACTGGAGGCCATTTGTGATTTTTCAGCCACAGATTTTCCATTCACCGTGAGAGGATCCCGCATGGGCACGTGAGCCCTGTGTTACTGGGGCAGTGGGAGTTCATCTTTGTCCACTGACTGTTGTTTCCAACCCATAATTTTGTTTTAAATCCTATTTTTTGGTTATAAGAGTTTAGTTAAAGAAAGAACAGAAAATCATTTGAGTACTAAATTATTATCTTTTTAAATGCAGTAGTATATTCTTGTTTTCCCTATGACTTTTCCAACAATTCTATAAAGTAAGTGCTGTATTTTTATTTTGCAGGTAAGGAAAGCTTAGGCACAGTTAGGTTAAATAGCATTTATGTTTCCCTCTTGTATAAGACAGACTTAGATGTTGACAGTGTGTTTAATCACTATGTGTCTAAACATCAGACATATTTTGCTTGTCCTTTTCAGACTTTATGCACTTTTAAATTTTTTGTGTATCTTGTTAATTTTATAAAGAATTAGTGGATATGTTTTTTTTTAAATAAAGACATTGGTAATTTCTCACTAAAACTTAATTGTTTAACATGAAAGCAGGTATCACCTATTTGGAGTTCAAGGTAGAACACAGATGTGATTTCAGTATAATATTAAAGAAATGATCACGATGGAGCAAGTGCAAAGAATTAGGTTCATAAGTGATTTAATGATGAAATTTTTAAAGGAGATTCTTTCATTTAGCACAGACAACCTCTGCCCACAGACTGCAGTGGGTTGGGGGTGGTGAGGAGGCACACCCATGACCACCTGTATCTATCATCCCTCGGGAGCATGATCTACTCCTGGACCACAGATCCAACAATCGGCAGTGTGCCGCTTAGCAGTCATTCCAAAGACAAGGATGGATGGCAGTTGACTTTTTGGCAGTCTGAATGCTTTCTTTCTTTCTTTCTTTCTTTAAGGATTTTGCCAAAAGGTACATGCCTTCCCAGACAAAAATAGAGAGAGTCAGTGAGAGGGAAAGTGAGAAATCACCACCCAGGGTGAATGGCCATGCCACAATCCCTTCTTCTCCTGAGATTTTGGTTATACACATACATGCACCTGGGGTGATTTTCAATGGGAGTCTGAAACATAACCATCATGCCACCTGTGGGCCCCAAAAGGAGATTCCTTTACTTTAACCAGGAAGGAACACACAATGAAATGACTATATGCTAAGTAAAGTGACATAAAATATGAGTTAGAAGGGAAATATTGCAAAGAAAACATTAAGTTACCATGAATAATGCTTTTAAAAAGATTTTTGCCATGGGGTGTGGGTACTCACTGGAAAAAGACAGCGATGGAGAAAATAAGAAATTACTGTCCCCCCAAAGGGGATGACCATGACACAATTCTATGTCCTCCATTTTCCTCTTAGGAGTTTGAGCACACACATACTTGTGACTGGTGTGATTTTCAGTCCACTGGTCTGGGGAATGGAACCAAGGACAGCCATGTGGGAGTCCAGCACTTTAACCGAAACACCACCCACTGGTGGTTTTGTATGTGTGCATGTGTGTGTGTGTGTGTGTGTGTGTGTGTCTGTAGGGGTCAGCAGGAGGCGTTGTGTTTAAGGCACTGAATTCCCACATGGCTGAAAGCTGTTCAAATCATTGATCCAGCAGCTTGAAAATCACACTGGAGCATGTGCATGCGTGCCCAAATCCCCAAAAGAAAACAGATGGAAAGAGATTACAACATGGCTATCTTCCTGGGCGATGATTTCTGACACTCTCTCTGTCTGTTTCTCTGGCATGTGCATGTGTCCTATGGAAAACATCTAACATAAATAAAATGTAAGTTTAATATTCAAAAAATAAACTCATTTATTGAGTCAATTTGTATTACCAAGATAAGTATAGAGACTAGGAATGGCACTAGAACATCTTCTAAAACCATACAAAATGTGACAATATGATGCAATTCTAAAGACTACTGAAGTCTATGACTCTTTTCTAATACAGAAACCGAAGTTCATTCTTACCTTTCATTGAATGCTACTTCCCTGATTTCAAGAAGGGAAAAAATCTACACATAGTCCACAGACATCAAATGTTTTCTGTCACCACACAATCACTGTCTCCATGCAGTAGAGACTATGCCCAGAGTAGGGGAAAAGCCTGTATTCCCTATTCTGAGTAGAAATCAGTCAGCTACATCTTACGCATTTTCACAGGCACAAAGGTGTGGCTGAAATACCCCTAATTCTGGAATTATTCCTGACTCTTATAGGGAAGATAAAACAGCTAGTAGATTAATTTCCAAACACATGAGATTAAAAACAGATATGACTTCATACATCAGAATCCAACCATGAAAACAGTAAAAATAACCTAATATTCCACTAGAAGCAGGGGGTACTGATTCGTAGAACTGGTCTTCACTTCCTTCTCTACTAGCTCAGCCCAAGACTCTTTAATTATTCCTTTCTTCCCACATGGCTTTGAGGGGCTCAGTTTCTACCCAGAAGAATCATTTTTAAAACCAAAAACATTTACTCCATGTCCTGATAGACTTCCTTCTCTATTTTTATTAAGATAATTTTTTTTTTTTCTATAGGGCACCTGTGCTTGAGAGGCAGAGACAGAAGCAAGAAATCACCCTCCAGAGGGAAGATGATGCCGCAGTCCCTTCTCCTCCATTCTCCTCTCAGGATCTTGGGCATGCACACACACATTCCCAGCATGAGTTTCAAGCAACTAGGTCCAAGACTCAAACCACAATCTACTATGTGAATGTCAGTGTCTTCCATTATGCCACCTACTGCCCCTGACTTCTTTCTCTTGAAGACTGTCTCAAAGAATGAAATATGAAGTACTCACCAGGCTCCTTCCTGCTGCCAGGGCAATGGGCTCCAGATGATGGTCAGGACAGAAGTTGAATGTGTGCAGAGGGGCAGCCAGATCTGGGATATGGGGTTGTGATCCCGTGACCTCACCTCCCCACAGGACTGCAATTATCATTTCACTTGTAGCAACAATGACAGGACACACTGGGGGAGCTGAAGACTTTTGTTTACAGAACCTTTATCCCAGTTACCATTAACAAAACAATTTAAAAGTTCTAGTGAGTATCTCAAGAGAGATCAGTGTTCGGAGTATCATTTTTCCATAGTCCTAGGATGCTGAACTTTGGGACATGATATACTGACAGCAAAGCTTCGGTATCTTAGTGGAACCTCAATTTACTCAAAACATGTTTTTCTTTAAAATTAAATTGATTAATTAATTTTTATTTTATTTTTGTTTTGTTTTTGATGAACTGACCTTTATTTTATCAACTTATCTACAAATCATGCATGAATGCCTTGTAATAAGTTTTCTTCTAGTAAACCCACTTTGACTCAGCAAAATTCCAAAGGGGAAACAGGCTTTTCTGGTGTAGGAAAAGCCTTTCAACAGTCCCCAAGTGATTTTCAGAAAGTAAAAAAAAAAAAAAATGGACCGTAGTCTTACAGAAGTTTTGGCTTAATTTTACCAAGCACCAAGATGTGCCACAATAGTTAAGGCAAGGCAGAGGCAAGTTACCAAAAAAGTTACTGATAAACAATACATCGCAGTCTGAAAACAGCCACTGTCTATTTACTGCGCAGATTA